AAAAATTGTTTTTTAACATTTGATTTATGTCACATTAAAACTTTGTTTTTTCAAAGCAATTGAATAAACATTAGATAACGAAAAGTTGAAAAACTATTGTGTCAATTGTAAAGTGAATTATGTTTGCTACCATATTTGCTCTACTAACTATTGAGCAAATTATGCATTCAGTGAGTGCGAGAGAGCTAGCCCGAGTGGCATTACTTACTGCTGGTGATAAGACGACAACTCACCCTGACTGACTGACTGACTAACCAACCAACAGACTTGATACTACCAGTCTGCCGTACAGGGCTGATGTACATGTACAGCTAAACTGTGCACAGTGTAGAACAACAACAACTACGAGCAGGCAAAGCCAAGCTCAGTGTTACCGTCACAAGCAACAGCGACAGCAACAGCAGCAGCCATTATCAGGGTCGTCTCTTTCCTTGTCGTTTTGTTTCCACAACGAGGAATGAATCTGTTTAGCAGTAGCAGTAGCAGCAGCAGTATTAGTCTTCTGTTGCTACTACACAGGGAAGATCAAAACGGACGTCGGTATTGTGATCCAAATTAGTGTGCTTGTCTGTGCGTGTGTAAACATGGAGTTAGTACAAACAAATAGATCGGACGGTGGCAAACTGTGCCTCGTGTGTGGGGATGATGCCTTGGGTAATCTGGAGCCAAAACGCTCTTCTACCTGCACTTATCTGATTTTTAACTAATTTTAATTTGTTGCTTCACCAAAATAGGTTTCAATTTCAATGGAATGAGCTGCGTCTCCTGTAAGGTGATAAATGTCGCAAGTTCAAGGCCTCGGGCTAAACTATTTTTAATTAAAATTTGTTAAGTATAATAAAATCCGACACACCTTTTTATTTTCAGGCCTTTTTTAGGCGGACTGCAACTCGAAATATTGTAATATGATAATAAGAGAAAAAGTGACATGCAATTGTAATATAACGGGCTTTTTTACGCAGTCATACGAATGCTCAAACAAAGGCAACTGTAAAATTGACAAACACTCTCGAATTAAGTGCAAGTTTTGCCGAATAAAAAAATGTTTTGAGGTAACTACATTGTGTTTTTCTGTTCACAACCAAACTAATTAGTGATTGCAACTTAAGATAGGCATGAAAAAGGTAACTTATTTTGAAACTATTTACTACAACTGTCGGTTTACTGTTGAACTTGCCCGGTAGGAGTTAATATACAGTCGAAAGCAATCAACTCAGTTTATACCTAATGAAAATGAATTCAACATTCTAAAAGAAGACTGGACGCGGTGTAAGCAAACAAACCAAGTTTGTTTTGTTGTAATATTAACTTTATCTTCTGTTTATTTATTGCTTTAGCTAAAAAGATTCTAAAACTGGACCCGGCAATTCAGCCACTTGCTGCGTCTGAAGTGACGCAAATCAGCGGCATCAACAGTGCAATGATGATCTTCAAAAGCGATTCTAAGGCAGAGGTGACGGCAACTGCGACCAGTATTCTTCAGTTTTACAACCTTCCTGGTGATTTGGTATCAAGAGTAATTCACTTCTGCCAGTCCTTTAGTGAATTCAACCTATTAGAGGAATGGGATCGTTTGCTAGTAGTCAAGTCATTTCACACGCATCTGATGATAGTAAAGTTTGCCTTTGAGTTTAGCTGTCGTCATGATGGTTTTCCAATTATCTACGTAAGTGCCAGCAGTGCTGTGGTCAATCGCTTAACAGAAATAACAATGAAGTGCTTTGCACAGGACCAAGCAGGGAACAAGGCGCTCTTTGTCAACTGGGACGTCTACCGAGAATGGACCAGCAAGAATGTCATCAACACATTTCGCTCCTATCACTATTGTTTGTATCGAGAAATGGAGAACGACGTTAATATTCGAAACATTCTTGCGGCCCAATTGCTATTTAAAGTAATGAAAAAAGAACTTAAACGCCAAGAATTTAAAGGGTAATGTGCCAGTTAAAGGATAGAGAACGGGCAATTTTCCATTTTGTTTCCTAACAGTAGTCTTCCATTTTTTACTTTTTTTTATTCTTACACATTTACCAGTCCCAACCACAACGTGTACTCGCACTTGCTTACACGGTACTTAGAGAATAAGTATGGAAGTAAAGTTGAAGCAAAGCTCAAGTTTCAGGCGCTGGAGCACATTCTCAATGACGTTTCAAGAATAACAGACATTGTTTTTGAAATTTATCAATCGCATGGTACAGGTGTTCATGAAGTACTTCAAGAGATATACGACATTGTTTGACATTCTTTGACATGTTAACTTATTTATTTTTTTCTAACGTATATTCTGTATACTTGACAACCACATTTATTTATTGATTGTTTTTTAATTTTTGTTGTTGTCAATAATAACGTGAATCCTCGTCTAAAGGTGGAGCCACGATTGGGCACGCTTTTTTTGTACAAAAAATATTGATTTTATACTACTTATTTTAAAATTATATAAATGTGCTTACATGTAAAAAAATTGTTGACGCGCAAATGCATTAATAATTCGAATCGAGTTTGGCGAATTGACAAAAAACATTTAGTCAGTTCAAGTTGAGTGCATTTTCTGTTTTGTCAATAAATACAAAAAATGGAAAATATATCTAATTAATAATCTTTGTTGCTGATCCATTTTACAACTTGTCAACTGAACTCAGCATATGCGGGTCAACAGAAAGAGGGGGGCCTAATATTAATGGAACTGCACTTGGAGACTTTTAATCAAATTTACCAGATCAATAGTTTTTGTACACAAGCAGAGGAAGAAAAACGAGTCAGAGAATTACGGTAATGAAGACTGTGAATGCAAACAAGATAATGTTGTTGTAGTACACGGGGAAGGATAATTTCAATCAGTAGCAGTTATTCAAAAAATGACTCATTCTGCTGAAGATTGCCTCCGATTTCGGAGAAATTGGCGACAGTTACTATGGCAGCTAGCTGGCAATTCGATTAATGCTCTGCTTTTGTCCTTCGCCTCTGTACTTTGTGTATTTCCCGGCACTAGTAGTCCATCGTAATGAGCCACTGCCACAAAGCAATGGCTGTGGCCGTCTGCCAGCATGTTTGTTCCTTTATCAACCATTTCAGTTCTTTGTTGTTTGCTGTAAAATAAAAAACAACCCGAAAAAAAACACAACAATAACCGCGTCCAAATGCATGTTACAGTGTGTCCGAATTTAATTCGCTGCCATTTCTCTTCGATTAATGGAGAGCAAGCTGCCACTGTCTAGCGGCCAGACAAATTAGCAAAGAATCCAATTTCCACAATTGCGGTTCGATTTAGCAGAAGGAAATGTATACTTTTCTTTTGCGTCGGTGCAACATTGCCTGTCTTTTTGGTTCCCAGTACAATGTAGCATGTTTGCAACTACACACTGGACGACTTTTGATTCGCCAGCAATAAAAAATAATCATAATTTTTAATTTTCCAGTAACAATGGGAAAAGATTAATTTCTTTGCGTCATTTCTCACTAAATTGAAAAATGTGCCATGTTAAAGTTATCTTTTTGCAGTGTTTTGAAAAAAAGTCGGCCTAACATCAGTCGTGTAATGTTACTACTACTCGTCGAATTTAATCCAATAGTGCCAAATGATGATTAGATATTTTGTGCTTTTCATTGACATTGCAAGCAGCATTGGAAACCGTACAAGGAACGTACAAATAAAAAATAGTATTGTGACGATTGTTATCTACTAGTGCTCGTGGAAGAGCACCAATTTGAAGCTTCTGATAACAGGGAGAGGTGATCAAAGAGAGCGAACTAATGTCGATTACTTTGTGCTAAAGCCCATGTGTGCTAAGCTCCGATGTGACTTCTCCTTCCTTCTTCTCTTTTTTTCAGTCGTATTTTTTCTCTGCTGATCAGAACTCGACAACCACGAGGCCCCCTGTACGGCAAATTTGCCGTCCGTGATAATGACAAACGTTAAAAGATGTGTGGTTTTTAATGGCAGCCGTTAGACTGGCTCTCTATCTCTCAATCAGACTTTCTCTCTTTTCTGTGCTCTCAACTCTCAATTAGCAATAGGCTACACGACTAGAGCATTACTGGTTTGGGCAAGCGAGAAGAAAAGAGAAGAACAAACTTGGCAAAAGTATACTACTTCCACCGTTGTTGTTGTCTCCTTTGTTGTTGTTTATTGATTTATTTGTGTCATTTGTCTCCTTTCTTCTTTATCTTCCACTTCTTCTTCTGCCTCTTCTTTTCAGTAAACAATGACCACAAAACAGTTGACAGTACTGTTTGTTCCTCTCGATGGCTTCGGACACATAAACTCCTGCGTTGGCGTTGCCGAACAGCTGTTAGCACGCGGTCACAGGGTCGTCTTTGCGCTGGAACGCGCCTGGAAGGGCAAAGCCTCGGCGTACCGGGGCATTGAGGAGGTGCACTTTACCGACCCGACGCGAGACCCAGCTCACGGCGCCAATGACCACTGGATTCAGTACATGGAGGAGTTCAAGCCCAGCTTCCAGCTGGCGCCCATCGACAAGTATCGCCTGAAGGCGCTGAATCGCGACCTGGAGGAGTCCTTCCTCTACACGCTCATGAACGTCGACGACCAACTGGTGGAGATTATCAACAGCCTTCTGCCTGATGCGATTGTGGTGGACACGTACGTGACCATTCCTGCCGTCCACAAATCCGCCATTCCCTGGGTCTGGCTCACCAGTGCAGCTCCACTGGTCTGCCTGCCGTCGGAAAACTTGCCCCCTCATGGGACAGGTGAGTTCAGGGGGAGGCCCCTTTTGCACTGCTAATGACTACTAGTACTGGCACAGCACTGGCGGGCACGTACGCGCCAGCATGTTATTAGCATCATCATTAGCATCATCTAGTACAGCTTGTACACATGCACACCGTTTACTGATTCACGCATTTTGTATTCTGCCTGTGTGACTTTTCACTCCTGCACCCTTTACCAAACTCTTCCCTAAACACTAGGCTACCCGACTGACGGCGATCGCAGCGAGTGGACGGAGTTTCGCCAGCTGGAAGAGGCCTGGCTGGCGCCCAGTGGCGCCCGCTTTGCCGCACGACTGCAGAAGGAGTTCGGCATTGAGCCGCCAGCCGAAGGCGTCATGTTGCCCTCTCCCTACTTAAACATGTACGCCTATCCAATTGAACTGGACGAACGGTACCTGCAGATTCGTCCACTGCCAGAAAAGTGGCGCCGATTTGAGCACTTCATTCGCACCACTGAACGCAGTGACTCCTTTTCCATTCCGCAATCCTTCCTCGACGGCTCGCCCGGTCAGCTCGTCTACGTGTCTATGGGCAGCATGGGCTGCGCATGTTTGACGCTGATGAGGCGGCTAATTGAGATACTCTCTCGCTCGCCCAATCGGTTCATCTTCTCGCTGGGCCCCTACGCCGCTCAGCTGCAGCCACTGCCGGCAAACATGTGGGGCGACCGCTTTGTGCCTCAGACCGCCGTCTTGCCGCTGGTGTCACTGGTGATCAGCCACGGCGGCAACAACACCACTCTGGAGGCACTGTACCACGGCTCTCCGCTGCTCATCTGTCCGCTTTTCGGCGACCAGCACGACAATCGCCAGCGAGTCACCGAGGCCGGTCTGGGTGATGGCGTGGCTAATCCCTACAAATGCCCACCGGAGGAGCTGCTGGAGAAGGTCGACAGACTGCTGTCGGATGGGCAATTACGAGAACGCATTCAGACGGTCTCCAGACGACTTCAGGCGTCAAAAAGTACTGAAAAGGCGGCCATTGCCATTGAAAAGGTTGCCCTTTTGCCTAATTGAGCAGTCTCGGCAGTCACAGTTGCAGACAAAGGAAAAGCGGATGCTAATTTCTGTGTGATTGTACTTCTAATTGCCTTTTAATTAGGCATTGCCAGTTGCATTTTCCACATACTGCCAACAAAAGCATCATGTTGAAATGCTGCCTTTTGTGAAAAAATCGTTTTTTGTTTTAATTTGCAGAAACTAACTATCAAATATATAAAAAATATATTTAAAAGAAAAAAGTATTTACCTCTACACCGTAATGTCGTTTCATTAAGAAAATTATAAAATGATAAATCTTCAAGCAGTTGTAAACTATAAATCAGTGTCGCTGTTGAGAAATCTTTTTCAGTAGAAAATGCCGCAAATAGAAACATAGGCAAAATTAAGTATAAATGTCGCAAAAACAAACTTGCTACTAGAAATGACAATTAATCAGCCAATATCAATTAAAGAAAAGTTTTCAATGACTGGTTTTCTATCATAAAAAAGTGTTATTTTTCTAAAAAGTATTTTATTTTACTCATTGTATACTTTAATTATTTTGACAATCAAAAGCAAATTTTACAAAAAAAATAGCTGACAAACCAAGATCCTAAAAAGTTTGAATCGCAAAAATCCATTACAACAAATGAGCCAATGTTAATGTCAGTTTGCCTAAAGCAAGTGATTCATGCAAATGACCATAATTTTTCTTAGTTATTCTTAAATCTTGAAAATCTGTACTGTATTTTTTATTTAGTATATACTCTAAGTGTGTCTAAAAAACTGCCTGCTACTTACTACCAAATTCACACTGCCCACTGGCCACACTAGTAATGAACACTTCATACAACAAATGCACATTGATTGCATTAATCAGTGCACAGCAGCACAGTAAGAATGCTAATCACATTTCATTCTTGTCTTGAGCTGAATGCAATTGCCTCAGTGCTTAGGCAAACAGTCCTTTCTATTAGTACTTTCTTTCACTAACTCAGGAGATTGCATCTTTTCCTCTAGGCCGACTTGCACAGCAACGACTTTGAAGATATTACATTAAAGTTTGCAGTTTTTAGACAAAAACTTAATGAAAAACACTTAACACTTAAAAAAGAGCAAAATTGGTCAACTGCTTGACGTTTTGTGTTTGAATGGTTTCTATTAAAATTTTTAGTATTTTTAAATAAAAAAAAGTATTTTTTTGACACTTGAAACAAACTTTATCTTTTGTCTTTTAAAAAATCTGGAACATTATTTTCCTACTGATCAGTTGTCTAGACATCTCGTTTGGAATTTTATATACAATTTTTGAGTGTGTAAATATAAACAAAACAACCTGTTTTGTCAATAATTTGTGTGCACAAAGTCACATTGAAACGTCACGTTTCTAAAAAAAGTCCATTTCAACTGAGTGACACTTCCGCAAACTAGACATGAAGAGGTTCTTCAAGAAGGATCTATTTTAAATCTAATTGGCAAAACTGTGTCACCAATTAAAGCAAACTGTGTGATAAATCAAATAGATATCTAGTCAACACCTAGCATATTTTATAAACGTCATTTATCAATGAAAATATTTTTTAATAAATATGATCAATTTTTGTTTTTAATATTAACCCTAATAACATGCCATGATAAACATAGTTAATATCAAGAGATTATATCAACATTAATTTAAATAAAATAATTTTTTTGTTAAATAATCTAATCAAGTCTACTAACCCAATTTTAATACACAACGTGATAAATATTTTAAACAATAGTTATGATAAACACAAGTTAGGTTGATATGCTAAAAATTGTGTTCAAAAAAAATTAAAATATACTTTTTGTGTAATTTAATAATATTTCAGAGATGATTTATTTAACTCAATAACAAAACTGAATATATTAAAATAATAAACATTTTATTAATTTTTTGTTATTTTATGTTTTCAATTTAAACACCTTAAATTTTTTTTTAAAAATTTTAACTTAATTAGTTTATGCATTTTATGTTTTTATAATTTTTGAAATATTTAAATAACCGACATATATTATTTGATTTTAAACAAACACGTTTTTTATTTATTCAATTGCAAAAAAACTTAAACATGTGTAATGTTTTAATTAATTTTTATGCTAATAATGTAGTTTATATTTATTTTAAAATGAGCATGTCATTTTGTTTCTACAATTTGACGCAAAACGTTTTTCAATAAAGCATTCAAGTTTACATCCTACATCAAAAAGTTTAAAGTAGTAAAACATGCTGTTTTTATATGTTCATAAAGTAATTGTTTATCCAAAAAATTCAGTGACAATTTTTGTTTTTTTTTGCTAACACAAGGTATTTTTTTCGTGCAATTAATTGGCAATTTGGAAAACTGTGTCAATATTAGCCAATACATATTTGCAAAGATATCGTCTTGGTAATCATCAATCATATCATTTAATCGGCATTGTTTTGCCTACTTGTCCAAAATATGTGTTTCTTGTAAATCGAGGGAATTTTTCTTTGTAGCAAAACCGTTTGTTTTAAAATGAAGGTGAAATAATAATATTTTGTAATACTAAACCATTGCAAACAATTTTTACACAACACATTAAAATCAATATTGAAGTTTTTATCAAGTTAAGAGGCAAAAGTCCATTTGTTGCACTATTGGCGTACGCGATGAATCATCATTTGCTTGAAAATCGTGTTTATTTTGACAACATAACATTTGCTGCGTTACACTGAACTTATGCAGCTACCACAAAATAAATTTTGTTCAACTAATAGGCAATTAAAAATCAAGCCATTTTAAAAGGGGTAGCTATTTACTCTGCTAGAAGATTAAAACAATAGCTTCAGACACAGCATAGATAATATCACAATGTTTGTAGTAGTAGGTGTAGTAGTAAATGTGTAGTAGATGCGCATCACAACTGCTGATGTTCTGGTATATAGCGAAAGTAGAAAGTGAACTGACAAAATGGTGGACGAACAAACGAACAAATGGCAGTCACTCACTTGGCGTCACAAAAGCACCCTCACTCGCATAAACATGTGACCAGACTAATCGGCCAATCGCCCGCCAGATTCAAATTCAGTTTGCAAACTGAAGAAGACTGTTTGGAGTGTTTTTCATCACAGTTTTGCATTCATTGCTTGAATTAATTTGCACACACTAATTGCCATTCTTTGAAGAAATGACACTAGTGCTCCAGTTGATTGTGTTTGTGTAGAAAGAGTAAAGGAAGTCTCTAAGCACACGCCAAAACGACATTACAATTTCTTTAATGAGTGAAAGAAGAGGCAAAAAACTCCCACAGTACTACCACACTGAAGTTTTGCAAACTCAATTATGAAAACAGTCTGATTTAGATAACAGACCAAAAAGTGACACACTCTTATCACAAATTTTCCTGGACATGCACTTCAGTGCAGCACCCTCGTGAGCGGCCTTAAAGCGGACTGCAGAAAAGCCGTGCGTGTAAATACTAAGTTTCTAGTAAACATAATCAACTATGCATGTCAACTTGTCACCGTTGTAGGTTCATCTACTAGCATCATCGTTTGCCATCAATTTTCTCTCCTCNTCTTATCACAAATTTTCCTGGACATGCACTTCAGTGCAGCACCCTCGTGAGCGGCCTTAAAGCGGACTGCAGAAAAGCCGTGCGTGTAAATACTAAGTTTCTAGTAAACATAATCAACTATGCATGTCAACTTGTCACCGTTGTAGGTTCATCTACTAGCATCATCGTTTGCCATCAATTTTCTCTCCTCTTTTTCTGTTTTCGCACTGTTTGATTGAGTGTTCGTGACTGTAAATGAAAATCGGCCGACTGCTCAATCGACTTGCTTTGGTTGTAGGCAGGGTCGCCAGGCGAAAACAGACGCATTCCAGTTGCAGCAAAGAAGCTGCTGCATCAAAGTGACTAGAAAAAGCAACAAAAAGAAAAAATTTTCAGTGTCATGTAACAAGCGACAGACAGATGACGGCGGCAACTGGCAACCGAATCTGCCCATAATCGCACTGTGTAATTTGCAGCCGTTCAATTTGACATCGATTATATCGTTTATCAGGAAACTATCTATCACCAGTCCGTTTTCTTTTTTCTTTTTTTAAGAATCTTTGCCGTCAAACGGATTTTTAGTGCAAATAGAAAAGGCTTTAAAATAGTAGCAGCACCATAACTCAGTGTCACTCAACTCAACTGAGCTTATAGCTGATAAAACCTGCTGGCAAATTCTGGATGAAGCCTAAATCCATTGCCTACAAGTAAAGCCCTGGATGGTGCAAAACTGTAGCGGCTGTTTGATTATTAATTCCTGACACTTTGTAGCATCTTTCAATTTCACACGTTTATTTTCTGTGAATGGTGAAAAGTGGTTTGTTTTGTCCAGCCGACATTATCAGTGTTGCATGTGCTTAATGGGCAATTAATAACCTCTTTTCAACAAACCTCCTTTCATCTATTAAAACACTCTTACGTTGACATTGCTTTAATTGCAAATTAATTATTTTCAAGTCTAAAACAGTATGCCACAGTTAAAAAGAATAACACTTTTGACTCTAAAATAAATTTTCCATTTCTTCTATTGTTTCACTGTGCGCATTCATTTTGTTTTGTATATTTTTCTTCTCATTTCATTTGAATTGACTTATTTTGTGCTCACCCAACAACAATGCAAAATCACCACAGCGAAAAATCGTTGTTAAAAACTTGCACTTACAGTCAACTTTTCCTCTTCATCGTCAGCGGAGCGATCACAACTTGCTGTTAGGTTGATTGCCACTTTTGCACTTCCCTATACAGTCAGTGTTTTCTTGTGTCTAATGTGCGTTTTTTGGTTTGGTGTTTTCCACAAGTTTTCTCCTCAATCAGTTACTATTACAAAGTGATTAGTATTCACACTTCATCCAAACTAAAAAGTTGTCATTTAATCACTGTTTGGTTAAAGTTCGGCTAACTCTGNCTTTTCCTCTTCATCGTCAGCGGAGCGATCACAACTTGCTGTTAGGTTGATTGCCACTTTTGCACTTCCCTATACAGTCAGTGTTTTC